TTTACCTCCTCTGCCCCCGTCTGCTGTGCGACACGAGGTTCTGCCAGCCGGGCCACAGGGAGCGCGCTCGCCGCCGTCTCGCCGCCGCCTCGCTGACAGGTGAGTTCTGGGAAGTGTAGTCCTTCCAAAAGACAAACATTTTTCTGCTGAGGGTAAACGGGAAGCTCAGCGGTCGGATGTGGTTCCTCGGTCGGCCATTTTTTTATTTTTTATTTGATGAAAAGGTCTTAATTTACCCAGAATACATTGTACCACAGTTCAGCTTTAGATAGTGAAGAACTAAACTATCGTCTGTCTGAAGTCAGCGTCTGTCTTTGTGAAACCGCCACCTGGTAGACGACTTCCATCCTCTCATTGTTATAGTTCTGCTGGATGTAGGTTGTGGGTGTAACGTTGTGACGTTGTGATGTGAGCGGCATCACGGCGTCAAGGAGCAAAACGTCCATAAAAAAACACAAACTGATGCATGAAAATGAAAAAGTTATCCACGTGCATCATTTGAATGATCCTTTAGTGAATCTAAATCCCACCACTCGCCCCTTTAGCAGCCCGTGATGTGTTTGCACAATTGTTGCCGTCTCTGGCTTCACCCTCACCGCCGCCACCGCCGCCACCACCGCCGCCGCCACCTGGCTGTTTGCCACCTTTTCTTACTCATAATGTACTAATGGTAACTACTGCAGCACTTCAAGCCTGGCTGCCTCTCGTCTGCTCTGCCTCTTGTGCCACAGAGGTCATAAACGCTATCATCAGATATGCAGGGCGTGTGTGTGAGCGCACCTCTATTGTCACATAACGCATGATTGTCATTAGAGAGGAAGCGAGCCGAGACACAAAATGTTCAGCTCCTGCGTGGAGGTAGATTGGCCCGAACAAGGTTTAGATGATTCTTTTTTTTTTTCCTGTGTGGCAGGTCGTCGTCTCGTGTTCACCTCCCGTCGCGTGGTTTCGTTGCTTTAGCGCTTGATTTAACGCGTCATTTTGTAACTTTGCTCAGTCCTCACATCTAACCAGGAAAACATTTTGACATCCAGTTGGTGCTGAATCGTGTCTTGTCACATCCCTGTGTGTGAGTGTAAACGCAGCAGCGAAAGAAAGTGAAATTAAAGACATTGTTCAACATTTTGGGGAGATGCACGAATCCGTCAACATGTCGAGTCTGTGTTTTGGTGACTGTACTTGGTTCCTGCTGGTTAGTAGTTGTGGGTATTGTCGACTCCAGAGCTTCCCAACCTTTTCCACTTGTTTTTATGTTTTAAATCTTTCTGTTGCTATCCGTTTTCGATAGTAAGTTTTTGACGTGGTCCGGTGGCTTATCACAGTGATAGGTCCTAATACGAGAAAACAAAATAAAAACACAATGAAAGAACATTATTCCTATTTTTATTTTATTTATTTTATTTTTTATAATCACCTTCTTTCATTTCATTTTATTTCATTTGTCGGCCCACTTGCAATACCTTCACGGCCCACCAGTGGGCCACGCCCCACAGGTTGGTCTACTCTTCTCTTGGTATGCATGTACCATTTACTAACACTGTCGTAAAACAGGCTAATTTATATATTCAGGCCTTTACTGGGGGTGTGTGGGTGGATCAGGATCTTTGTTTCTACTTTTCTTCTCTTTTCCTTAAATGTGTATTTTGCATATTGGAAAAAAAAATACATATTTAATGTCGTGTGTTGTAAGTAGACAGCCAGAGTTAGCTCGTGGTTGGTGTTAGCTTAGCATAAAACGTGGGATACGTCTGATATCAGTTTTCAATCGTTACTTTTCTTTCAGATCTTATTTTCTGTTGCAAATTAATATGTAAACAATGTTAAGAGACAGTGTCAGATTCTCACAAGATGACCGTGTTGATTCGGTGTAATTGTCACGGTTCCTGGAGGATGATCGTGACGTGACTTTTCATCTGGAGCCGCCATCGGGCCAAAATCTCCCCAACGCTTCCCCAAACATTTCCAAACACAAAAGCTGGTTTAAGTCAAATCCATGATTGTCAGAGAAGAACCAGAGGAGGTGCTTCTGAAGCAGAGTGAGAAGAATGAAATCACTTTAACCATCCTTTAATTAACCACGAGCACTAACGACCTACGCGGGCCTCGCACCACCGTATGACACGTAACGCGTAACTACGGGTTTTGGAAAAGCTTGGATGTAAAAGTTGCATGTACTTGTTTAATGTGCTCAAACATGCGAGTCTCGGTTTCAGAACACATCAGACTGAGTCATAAATCCTCCGCAGGCGGCTCCGCGTGGATCCAGCCCTGTCTGTGCGTCCAACAAATAAACATCACATCAAAGGTGTCTCCAACACGTCCCAATAATGTCACTATATTTGCTCATTTCCTCCCTCAGGAACACAGGATCAGATCTTGACTTCAGTGTACTGGAAACTAATGAGGCAGGTCTCCACTCTCCCTGCTCACTTATGCACCCGCTCCGAAGTGTTAAAGCCACAACGCATTCCAAGCTTTGTGGTTATTTTGATTTTATTTATTTTTATGACTTTTCTTCTTCCTTTTTTTTTTTCTTCTTCTTCCTTTTTAGATTTTGGCAGAAAACAAAAACAGGAAATGAGAGAAAAACTCGCACTGTGAACGGGTTTGTTGGAATTTGCTGCTTTGGTGTGACTTTGATCTTATTTTTTTTTTGGGGGGGGGGGTATTAGGAAGGAAGGGGCAGTGGTAGGTGAATGGTTTGTCAGGATGGTAATGTGAGCAGTGAAGGGCCTTTGTGTCGCAGCATGAGGTCTCAGTGGTGATCTTTGACCCACATATCTAAAGGCTGGGTTCTTCAGATTCCTTGTTCCTTGTTTTAAAATGAAGGTTTTGATTTAAACTCTGAACACTGATTCTCTCTAAAGCAGAGCAAACAAATCTGACATGGAGTCATGGTGGTGGATAAACATAAAAAAGTACTGCCTTCGACAGATGATAAGTCACAGTAATATTACCCACATACACATGAATGCACCAGTTTGAGAATCTCCTGAGTGGATGGTTCCCAGTTCAGCCAGACATAATGTTATTGCAGCAAAAGCAACGACGACAAGGAGACGTACTTCAGCTCGGCGGGAACACAGGTTGGACGGTTTTAAAACAACATCACAGCAACATTTCTTCTGTGTCTGATTGGAAAACGTGAGGTTCAGCACTTCCTCGTGTTGTATCTCTTTCACGTTGTGTTTTCATCCTGCACAGAGATACATCAATAATAATAGTTGCATGAATATTTACTGAGAGAATCCAAGTGGTTAGAGCGAGAAAGACACAAACGTCCACAAACATCCAGTATCATACATGTGATGACTTTCCTCACCAGGGAAGAACATTTCAAACATATGTGAATACCAAACAAAAAAAGGTTCCAGGTCTGAATTCAGTGAGAAAATCAATTAGCAGCATCTCTGACAGGATACAGACCTCACTGATGGTGCTGAGGGAAAACTGATGTGGTTGTACATGGTGCCATCCTCTGGCCGCTGTGGTGAACTGCACCAGTTTACACAACGACTGTAGCACCGAGTCCTTTATTAGAAACACCTGCTAATTCATGCAAATATCCGATCAACTGTCATGTGCAAATGAATGAATTTATTCCCCTTGTGGCCATTTTTTAACAAATGTTTTAGCAAATGCTGAAGAAGGAAACGTGTGGAAACGCACGTGGAGCAAAAGTGATTAAGTGAATAACTTATTTCGGATCATATGATTTATTGGCTCATTTTATTTTTGTTCTTAATGTGATTTTGTGACTTTTTAATTTCTTGGCTCTCATGGCTTTCCATAAAAAATAAAAAAGTAAAGAAGATGGTCAATGATTTATTTAGTCCCTGAAAACATTAACTGGTCAGGATGAAACACATTTATTGAAACATGATTATATATGAAGTTTTTTCTTTCGTTATGAAGAATTACATTTCATCTCCTCACGGCAACACACTTACATTATATATACAGTATATATTATATATAATAACATTAGATTAAAAACTATTAAATATGTTGCTGTATAGAGAAACTTTTCCACGCTGAGTTACAAAAATGATATTCAACATTTTAATACAGATTTCATTATAAGAGGTGACACATTAAAGTTAAATATTATTTTAAAGATAATTATAGTTTGAAGTTTTACAAGTTTCCACCATTTTATATACAGACTTCTGATTTACCAGGACGTGAAAATAAACAAAATTAATCTCTTTAATTATCTATGTGAATATCAATAAATCGCACATTCAGCGCACAGGGGCATAAAATCCAATGTTTTCTTTAATTTACATGAAGTGCAAAACAGCTCATTATGTAGTAATTACCTCACTGCAATTAAGTCCTTATGTATTAATCCATGTACTGTTAATAGATATTTTAAATAGTTAACAGATATCACACTGCTCACCGGCCTCTCTCTCAGTAACAAGTTTAACTCTTTCCTGTATCTTCAGAGCTGCACAGGTTTGACACGTTTGACCGATGGAGGTTTTTACAGACGGATATTATTGTGTTCAAACGGAGTCAGAAACACCTGAGCTCCTGAGCCTGAAACAAGTGGAGTGTGTTTCTTCTCTACTGCTGTTATTTGTACTTAATATGAAAAAGGGAAGTGTCCTGAACAGACACACTGGTGTTTCATGTTTGTTGTTATTGTTTTCTTTTATGAATAATACATTACCACAGTGTTTATAAGTGTGTGTGTGTGTGTGTGTGTGTGTCGGGCTGCCTTGGTCCGGCCCTGAAGAGCATCTCAGATTTCCCTCGCGGAACTCAAACTCTCTGATCAAAGCTAAATGATGATAACAAACCCAATTGGTCACTTAACCTTTGAATGTACAAATGCCCCAATTACAGGAACCACTTCCCCTGTTCCATCACTTTACGTGTGCCTCCCTGTATCCACTGAGCTGCACGGGGCATGGAGCTACTAAGTCTGGCCTCTTAACTTCCACGCTCTACCTGCTGAGCTTGTGTCCACATGATCAGCACAGCGGGAGGACTCAGGCGACCTGCCACACTGACCACAGCGTGCCCAGGGTGATGCTGTAGGCCACCATGGCAACCAAGTAGACTCTGAAGAGCAGCACGTCCAGCACGTAGCCGACCTGCAGCCACTCCTTGGCCACCTCCCGGCACCTGTCCCTCTTCTCCAGGAAGTGGCGTATCGCTGTCACCTCATGCAGGATGTTGTCCATGACGGGCGGCGTGGGGTCCCTGGAGGGGGGCAGGCCGAGTCCGAGCAGCCCGGCTTCTCTGTCGTGCCGTTGACCGATCTCGCAGGTGTGGTGGAGGGTGCACTGGGCTGCAGGGTGGCACAAGGATGGGTGTTAATAAGAAGTTGAATTTATTACTGTTGCAGCTGTAAGATTAGCAAACATGTCAGTGTGTTGTCGGGAGACTATCCTCCTCTACAAAACAAGCCCGTGCGTCGACTGTGCGTTACTACGGCAACAGGTGTACGGACGCTGTTTCAGGAGACACAACCGTGACTCATATCAGAGGGACGAAACACGTAATTGGAGCCGTTTGTTGGTAAATTTCTGGTGTTTATTCACTTTTTCTGCAACCACAAAGGTAAATTAGCATTTAGCTGTAGCATTTGTACCGTACCAGTCCCATAGCTGTTGTCCTTGTAGTGCTCCAGGTCGGAGGCCTCGGACGACAGTCTGGAGCAGAGGCGGTGCTTCTTGTGGATGCAGAAGAGGACCGGAGCTCTCTCCAGCACCAGGTACTTTACCCAGTGGGGGACGGGGGGCTGCAGGTCCTGCTTGTGGACCAGACGCACAATCAGCACGGTCTCCGTCAGACTGATCACCAGGAGGGCCATGCAAACCACGAAGTACACACCTACAGGGCAGGTAAGATGAGACCAGGTGTTTGATGATGATCGCCTAAAGCAAATAGTACAACATCATTTTCACTTCCTTATTTTTTTTTTGGGGGGGGGGGGGGTATTGCTGCGCCTTCCACCCAGTGCATGCTGGGAAAACCTCCAGCTCTCCAAAATCCTGAAATTAATGCTTGAATTTGAGTTCACTCTCAGAAGTTGCTTCGCCCTCACCGGTCTGACCCTGTGTGTTTGTCTTGCAGAGTAAATGCTGCTCAGTAACATTATAGTTTACCCGCCTCAGTTCACTTAGAGGCAGAATAAGTTTGTTTCCTGGCTAAATATTTGCAGAACTCAAACAACAAACTGCTGGTAAGAACTCATGGACCCCAGTCACCTATCAGCGGCGTTCCTATGGCCGTGGCGGGCAGAGTGTCAGAAACAATGATGAGGAAGACGGAGTATCCCAGCAGCAGAGTGATCTTGAAGGAAACCCTCTCTCCGCTGTCTGGTGGCAGATAGAAACCAACGATGTCCATCACCATCAGGAAGATACTGGGCAGCAGCAGGTTCACAGTGTAGAACAGCGGCCGCCGCCGGATCACCACCTGGGAAATGTAGTTTTAAAGCGAGTCAGAAGTTTATCCATCTGCCCTTTTTTTTCTGTCTCCAGTTTTTATGCTAAGCTAGGCTAATTTAACCTCCTAACTCCAGCTGTGTAGATGGGAGGACGGTGCAGAACTGGGGAGTTGGAAGCTGTTTGGTTAAACTTAGACGTTTAAATGTCAACAGAATAATAAAGTTAAATGATCCAATTTGTGAACGATATCAAAAACAACTAGTCACTGTCGGTGAGGCAGGACTGTCGTACTCATGTCAGATTTATGTCTTAAAAACACACACTCACGTGGAACTTCATCTCGGCGTAGTAGTCGTCGTCGTCCACGCTGAAGCTCTTGTAGTTGGACAGTATGTGGAGCAGCTCCCACTCTCCCTGGTTCATGAAGACGCTCTTGTCCTCCCTGAGCTCCTCGGGGCTTCGCATCAGGGTGATGTTGATGTCATCAACTGCGGATCGAACACAATGTTGGGAGCAGTGTGAGTCGGTCATGGCAACAAGTTACCCTTTACCCAGCGCTCTGCTCTCAGAGCACATGTCACAGCAGGGGAGACATCTTGGATCCTCAGAACAGAGCAATTCTCCTGTTCAAGTCTTGATGAGGAGAGTTGAAGAGAGACTTGGATGTTATTTTTCCAATGCCGGTGGATATTTTTCACAGTTTTAACAGGATGACATCAAAAGATATTTGTCTAGAATTATTGCAGACCTTGTAAGTCTGATTTATTTTAGGCATTTCTGAAATAATTCCTCCATGTGAAAAATGAATGTGGGGTTGTCATGGATTTCTGTCAAAGGTTCCTTAAAGGATGGATCTTATTTTTGTAGCTTCGTCCATCTTTTCCATCAGTCACGCTGAGACTGTGCGCACATAATAATACCAAACGTCAAATCCGAACCAGGAAAGATGGATGTTTTACGACAGACAGTTTGGAAAATAACTGTTTGGCTAACCTGGGAGTTTGTTTACAACCTGTCTGATTGTCTTTTTTCCCTGTGATGTGGAAGTGTGACCATGATCTCAGCTAGTCACTTTCTTAAGGTCAGTGCACTGATAAAAGAACAGAAAGACAACACAGTTTCAAACAGGAAAAGTCCAAGAAGAGCTTTTTAAAAACAGATTAATAACGTCGGACAAACAAAGGGAAGTTCACTCACTGGTGTGCAGCCAGCTCTGGAAGGTGAGGCTACATTTCTGCACATCGAAGGGGAAGTTGTAGATGTTGAGGGTGCAGGCTGTGACAACCTGGATGGGCTTATAGTTGCGCACCAGCCCGTCATGTGTCACGTAGACATAAGGGATGTCCGGAGACTTGCCCACATCCACACTGCAGGTCGACAGACAGACACAACAGCAGATGCACAGAGAGTAACAGCAGAGTAACAAACAACTGTGACAGCAGCAGCAGCAGCAGCAGCAGCAGCTCTTACAACTCGTTGATGAGGATGTCCGGCACCCACACGTTGGCAGTGGGAATGGAAACCTGTTTGACTTCATCAAAGTCTTCCGGGTTCCAGACCAGGAATTCATCCGTCCACGACTGAAACATTCAGAGAACAGACGAAGGTGAACGAGTCAAACACCGTGAAAATATTAGAAGGAACAGTGAAAAATTTTAAACGACCATATCGACTAAAACTAATGAATCCGAGTTCGCCGATACGAATGGATAAAGTATTGATAAGTCACGACCTTCCTTATCTATCTATATATTTGTCAAACAAAACTTTTCTTTGGGAAGTTATTAACATTTTGTATAAGTCTATTAAAGCACCAATCAGTGTCTGAAATGTTCAGAGGAGGACCAATCACGCTCCACCTCTTCACTGTGTCACTAACTGTGAGGTTAAAGGACCGTGAACCTGTGTCGAATCTGACCTCATGAAATATAATAACAGGATTTTAGGACGGACTTTGTTACAGATGCGAAGTAGTTGCCAGTTTGAACTCTGTGAAAAGCTGATTTTTAACATTAGCTGAGCGCTAATGCTTTAAAGATACCTCGCTAATCTTAATTACATAACGACAGCACTTGTGATTTTGAGATGAGATTTTTGCCGCCAGTTGCCAAATATTTTAGTCGTCTGTTGCTCGTTCTTAACTGGGTTTGTCCCTGTTTAATTTGTATTCTCCTGCAGATATTCACTGATAACAGGGATTATATTCAAGGCTCAGACTCTCAATATTTGTCCAAGCAAGACAAACAGCACAACACAACAAGGAATGTAAAGCAGAGAAACCTGTTTTTTTCATTTTCTTTGCAATGTTTTGAATTGAACCGTTTCCCTAAAAAGTCCTTGGTTTCAGACAGCACCTTATAATTACAAGCAAAAGATAAATTCTCAGAATTACAAGGTTTTATCTCCTCTGTAAGAAAGTGATAGAAATGTGATATGACATATTTAGAGTGACGTTAGGGGGTGCGTTATTCTGTTATTTTATTATAACAGAGACGTTTTTCTCGATTAGTTTTGTTATCTGAGATGTGAAAAGACTTTGAAGCTTAATATGTCAAACCCACTGAGAATGCAGAGACTCTTATAATTCACAGTCATGACATGAGTTATAATAAACCAAAGTGTAGTGTTTACGTTACTCACTTGTCTGTACCACACGTATGTCGTCAAAACCTGGTTCTTCTCATCCTGTCGTGGGAGACAAGAAAAAAAATCTTGTTGTTGTCAGAAATAATAATTTTCATACTCGTCATATGGGGACAGGAAGTATTATGAGGACAGTCTCTATGAAAAACAGCTGCTGATTTTTTGCCACCGGACCTCAGAGCTTTTTAATCTGCACGTGTTATTGTATTAATCTGATGTAATTTGAAATATAACCCCGTAACGCCTCGGTGATGTTTGCTTGTATGTGCGGTGCAGTTAATGACGGGGAAGTTTCTGTGACGCTCACCACGTTGAGGATAGAGTAAACCATGAGGTCTATGGCCACTATGGTGGACGTCCTCCAGTCTTTCACCGGTCTCACTCCTTTCTTGTACCCCGCACTCAGGAAGTCCGACAGGCGCACCAAGGTGGCGTTGGCGAATCGTCCCGTGCTGCTGCCCAGTTTCTTAACTGGAAGATTCACAACACATTCATATTTTACAGTGTATAAATTACTCTGACAGGATAGAGGGATTTTTGAGTCAATTAAAACATATTGAAATACATTTATTTATGATTATAGGCATATGTGTAAATTAACCACAACTAAACTTAATGGAGCATACATCATTTATAAGAGTACTCTTCACTGAAATGCTTCTTGTTTTAATAACATCTCGCTAATTGGGATTTAACACGAAATGCTTCTGAAATATACCCAGTAGTTAAGTGTTAGTTTGTTAGTCTTCACTTTTTGAAATCGCTATGGATGTACAGATAAATATCAAATTAATTCTGTTGCTAGTCAACTTAAAAATTCAACATAAAAATAAAATGAAATGACAATTTCTTTTCAAATTAAATGCATGAATAGTTTATTTGTGAAACTGTGTTGGTGATTTACATTCTAATGAAATATATTTAATAAAACTAACAGTGTTTCAAGCAACATTATGTTAATAAAATTCTATGTGCTACACTATAACTTCATCTGATCATTTTAATTAAAACCTCTTTGACCAAATAAACACATCTGTGCAACTAATAATTTGTCACAATAATAAAAACTCACACAGCCAAACATACAATCAGCTTTTAATACATTTTGTTGTTTTGTTCTTATAATTTCTGACAGCAGTGGTTTTTATTTAAATTCAGTTTTGGAGACACATAAACTTTAATGTTATTCTACATTACCAGGCTAATTAACTTTCAAATACTCAATGAATGTTCCGTGTTTTTCACACTAATGCATTTGGAGTAAGTCACTTTTACAAACACCTCAGTTGTGTCATTTCTAATATAAATAAAAACTGACTAAAAAGATGCTGCATAGTCAACCTTTAATCAAAAAGAAAAAAGTCCTGTCAGTCCCTTTGACTAACTGTTTATTACACAGACAAAATAATCCTCTCCAACATCTATGATTTCAGATTTTTCTGTCAAATAAGAGTGAACTGACTTTTAGGTTGACAGCTGGATATTTAATGGAGTGTAAGAAAAAGAAATAAGCTGCTGTACCTGTGCACGCCTTTGATGCTCCTTGAATCAGAAGGAAAACAAGAGTCGTCCAGGCTGATGAGAGTCTCATGGCGCCAGTTCACCTGAGTGTTTTCCTCCTCCTGCTGCTGCTGCTGCTGCTGCTGCTGCTGCTGCTGCTGCTCTGATGAAAGGCCTCGGGGACGCCTCACACCGTTATACTCCATAACCGTCAGCCACATCCGTCAATTCACCCACGTCCACTATCAAAACCTCGTCAGTGTCACTCAGCTCGTGAGGGAGTGTCCATCCGCTCCGACGCCCCTCCTCCTTGTCCGATAAGGCAGCAGCTGGCTGTGATGCATGGAGCTGAAAGACTGTAGAAACACCACGCTGGGACTCTGTGACCGGATCATATATCATGTCTAATTATTTAATTAAGCAATGCACCAACACCAGTGTGTTATAGTGATTATCAGTTAAGAGGCTGTTAGGCAAGAGTGTCAGCCACTTGATATCCTGCATCACATAAAGCCGGTTTCACTTTGTTTTCTTAACGCTGAAATACAAAAATATGGAAGTTCATGGCTGTTAGTGTTAAAATTAAATTAATTAATCAAATTTAAAAGTTAATTTGCCGACACAATTTTAATAAAAAGCTGTTGACGTGCTTGTAAATGTTTCGATTGATTGATTGTTGACTGTTACGTACCAATCTGTCATGATCTGCCCCTTTAATGACTCTTTCTTTGGACTGTTCTTTATTTCCTTGTTTTTATTTTGAAATACTAACCTTGTGCTTGCACTGTTTGTTTTACTTCCTGTCTTTGTCCCGTTTCCCGCCATTTTGATTGCCTGCCCCGCCCTAATGTGTTGCACCTGTGTCTTGTTACCTGCTCACTTTGACTCCTCCTGTTTCTGTTTCTTACTCCTTTTTTATTCTTGAGTTTTTGCCTCAGTTTTTCTGTCGGCCCAGATCGGATTTTTGGTTTCACCTACAAAGTAAGAGTCTTGTCTTCTCTTGGTTAAATAAGTATTAGAACAGAACCAGCTCTGCTTCACTTGTTTGTATTTGTTATCCCCTTTTTTCTGTCTGTGCAGTTCTGTCCCAAACAGCTTTAAAACTCAGGAGACAAATCAATCAATATTTTCTGATTCTCTTTAGTTTAAAAAAAAAAGACTAAACTGTTGTAACAAGATATTTTTAGTTTCATTCATGTTAGTTTAAATGGCCTATAGATGTATTTTGTGGTCTGCAGCCTCCATGTGCTGTCAGCTTTCTTTTTAAATATCTGCAGAGTAATTTGCTGATGCGCTGATTTCCTCTGCAGAAATAAAAAGGGCAGGTTTCGACTCTTGAGGCTTTTATTTTCACTTCTCTCGTGTTTTATCTTCACAACACAATTTATTAATGCGACACAAAGGCAATAAAAGAACAATTACAATCATCTTGAGATGACATTCATATTCACAACAAAGCGAAACACACTAAAGCTTGAAGTGAGCATGCAGAAACCACTGGTTACCTCAAAGAGCCGGTAATGAGGCACTGACTAAACATTTATCCACAGCTCTGTTGCATAACATCATGTAACCAGAGCCACTGGAAAGAAGAGGCTTGCAGACACTGTGTGAAAATTGCATTAATATGGATCTTTCCGCCGGTAAGTTTCCTATGACGCACTTTTGATATTCTTATCACGACTATTAGGAAATCAACAGGGAATAGAGACACAGCGGCTGAGCTCTGAATGGGTTGTATTGATCTATTTTGTGGCAGCGGGATGGAGATTAAAGTATGAATACGGTATTATAACATCACACTGGCACTGAGGATTTTCTCCAGAGAGCTGCTTTATTATACAGTATCTTTGAGAAAATCTTCACTGTCGGGGAAAAAACATGATAACAGACACAATACAATAATGTCTCTGTGAAACTATGATGCTGCTATAGTGGCAGAGCAACACCTGGAGACAGAATGCAAACAGAATATTTAAGGATAACTCTATTTTCAGACAACTTCAAATTTTTATTTATTTTTTTAGTTTTTTAGTTTTGGCACTTCTCACAGCAATTATGACACAAATGGTTAATATTTTATGGCGGAGGGATACAAGCACAAGGCGGTAATTTTAGTATATTTCTTTTTTTCATTGTAACACATTAAAGCTTTTAAAAGTTCTGCATCCAGAATCACTGTAAATATGATAAACACCAAAAAGCAAGAAGTACTGTACAGTGTTCGAAACAATCAGTAAGTCTCTGAGCAGGTGGTCAGGCGAAGCTCCAGCTGGCCCAGAGCAGCAGCAGAGTCCCGGCGTACAAGGCCAGAACGAACAGGTAGAGGCGGAACAGGAAGCAGTCGAGCCTGGAGCAGAGGGCCAGCCAGTCGGCCTGAGCCGACGACTCGCTGTCCTCCTGTGATAAAGCCAAACGGAGGGACACCAGCTCCTGGAGGAGCCACTCCAGCCCAGAGGGAACATCCTGGAACTCGCTCAGGGACAGCAGATCCCCCTCCAGTGACGGCTCCAGCTCATAATCTATGAGGAGAACAACAAATCTGGTTTAAAATGCGAACGATTAATACAGATTTACGTAGATTCTCTCAATTTTAAATGAGAACAATCCAAACCAATCAGTGGGGATGGGAACATTTTTATAAATAACCCTGACCCCTTTCCAAAAAGGCTGCTTCTAAAAACTTTGGTAGTTTTGGAAGTTTGTCATTCTCTTTTTTTTTTACAGCGTAAACTTCCCCATAAAGATGAAAAAGTGCCTTCCTTTTTGTCCAACACTCTTTCACCCTTGACTCCAATGGGCGCCTCCTCTTTACAAAGACACCCTTTTGATTTGACGAAGCAAAAAGTAGAAAATGTATCCTGATATTCCCTGTGAGCGGGACATTTACCTCCAGACGGGTTGATGCGGTCGAGGGTTTTGATGGAGGTTAAAGCGCTCTCATTGCTGGGGCCGGCCGAGCCGTACTTGTCCAGCAGGCAGGCAGACACGGACATTTGCCTGACCTCCTTCTCGCTGTGGTGGAGCAGCTTCACCACCAGTATAGACTTGATGAGGCTGAGCATCAGCATGGCCATGCACACCGCGAAGAACACACCTGAGTGGAGATGGAGGACAGAGCAGGAAAGCTTCTGTTTCCACGGTCGCCATATTGTTTCGGGTTGTTTATCTATCTATATATCTCAGTAACGCCTCGACGGAACTTCTTCAGATTTGTCACAAACATTCATTGGGACTCGAGGATGAACTGATTAGATTTTGGTGACTAAAGGTCAAAGGTCGAGACCGCGATGACCTCACGAAACACGTTTTCGGGCCATAACTCGCAAATTCATCCACTAATTATGACTTATACAATTTGACTCAAATGTCTGTGAGGATGAAATGAAGTGATGACATTTTATATCCAAATGGTCAAAGGTCAACTTCACTGTGACATCATAATGTTCTGCTAAAACACTTCTGGCCGTTTTATTCAATGCTGCAAATCAGGAAAGGAGAGATTGTGACCACATTTCCTGCAACTTGGCTGGTTGGCGAGTTATCAGACATGTTGTCATTCTACAGGAATTCTGGGTATTGGAGTTGGGATTTGACATCATTATTGGAGACGAGCTGCATGTTGGAATTTGTTATGTGAGAACAATGCCCTCCGTGGTTGCAATAACAGAATAAACAACAGGATAGAATAGATAGTGCACAGACACAATAAAGGTGACGACAACAAAACTAAAGAAGAAAAATAAAGAAATTAACATTAAAATCATCAAATGTCGCACCTATAAGAGGCGTTCTGACGGCAGTGGCAGGCAGCTCATCCGTCATGTTGACTCTGAAGACGGTGTAGCCCAGCAGTATGCTGATCTTGAAGGCGATGCGTATGCCGCTGTCCGGAGGCAGATAAAAGCTGATCACATCCACCAGCATGAGGAAGATACTGGGGATGAGGAGGCCCACCACATACAGCAGGGGGCGCCGGCGGATCAGCACCTGGATGGGCGACGAGGAACGGGAAGCTGAGATCTGATGGGTCACTGTGAGACGCACTAGATTCGAGAGGTGTGTCGTTTTGCTTTTTGACAGAACTGTGTCTGAGAATTATAAATAAATAAATCAATTTAAAAAAAAAAAGACAATTTTCTTGAAAGACATTTTTGTCATGTCACAGTAGGAAAAGCACAAGTGTAAATAATAGAATTTTATGAAGGCTGAGTCGCCTCGCTGGCTCACTGTCACATTGTCATGCCTTACTGGGTCGTTTGATTAGAATGGAGCCATTGTTATTCTGTGCTTTTCCAACTATGACAAGTCAAACGCCTGCAGTTTAAAAGGTCTGTGGAGGTAAATGGAATTTATTTTGTGCTGTTCATGAGGCTGGAGGAATACAACATTTAACAGCTTAAATGTTTTTTCTCCTTGTTTTTTTTTTTTTTTTGTGGTAAAATCATCCAGTGATCCTTCAGCTTTGTCCTGTATCTTTACCTGACCTGACAGATCGGTCCATGACAAACACAGTTCATACGCTCTGAAACGACTGACCTGTAGAATATGATACAAAGACTGTGAAAATGGCCATAAAAACACAATTGAATCAACAAAACAACAGCCAACAATCAGCTGTTTATCTGGAATTAAACATTTAATACCTCGACATGTTCATAGAAGAGTAGTGGAGTAAAAATACTCAACAGATACTCAAAAAATATATTTAAGTACAGTACTCAAGTAAAATACTTTCCTACTGTCCACCCCTGATTGTTACAGCTGAATATAAATGAGGTTTTCTTCCTTGTGCTGCAGTTTCACTTCAGCTGTCTCCTGAGTTTACTGAGGGCATACAAATGAGTGTTCGCACTGGTATTTATTGCATCGTGTAGATAATATATGGATGGATGTGGTTATTTGTTTGGTCGTTAGTGTTTGAACCATAAAACTGTCACGTCCAGCTCTATATGTAAATATATATATATACATATATTTATATATATATATATGATGTACCTGCTCTTAGCAGCGGAGCGGCGGTGTAACAATATCTCAGTGAGCCATGAAACGCACCATTACCGAGGAGCCTTCGCTCTTTGAGCTGAATAAATAGCAACCCTCCGCGCTCTCCACCTGCACTGGGCTAAGGGGCCATTTTCCTCGCCACTAACAAGAAGTCCATTGATCAGGCAGCCACTGAGACAGTCTCATTATGGTTGCTCGCCCTCCCCTGTCCGTCAGCCCTCGCTCCCTATCTGTCTCTTTACGTGCCAGATACAGCCTCGGCCTCGTCGTTTGGCTTTAGCTCACTAGCCCGATCCATGAAGGCAGTGGCCAATAGCTTTGTACTTTACAATTTGACCACACAGACGTTGCAAAGGGAGGGAGTGGGGGGTATGTGAACATACATTGAACTGGATGTGTGCGTAGTCAGTGTTGTCCTGGTGGATTTGCCAGTAGTGTGAAGGAATGGACAGCAGTTCCCATTCTCCGTCGTTCATGAACTCCCTCTTATCGTCAGCGATGGCCTCCGCGCTCCTCCACAGAGCCAGGTCTATTTCCTTCACTGCAGAAGAGGGAGAGATAGTGAAGGATAAAAAAAATAAGAGGAGGTGGGAAAAGAAACAAATAAAAGTAAATACAGGAAGGCGGTACATACGTTTTGCCTCACAGTCAGAGTTTGTGTGTTTATATCAGTTTTCCTTCCTTATGGCTGGAAGACTCAAGACTTGGCTGTTGCTTGTGATTGTAGCTGTTAATTTAGCAGTGTCACTCCTCGTCTTAACTCTCAATCCTGAACCGACTTCATGTCAACTCCACTGGATGATGAAGACAATTGAAAGCTCTGAAATTATCTAGTTGCCTTTGAGTCAAGTTTGGGAGATTCTGGTGGGAAGTGTGTCACCTGAATTCACTGTGTTTTTTCCACCACCTCACAGGCGGGAAACAGACCTGAGTGAAGCCAGCTGCGGAAGGTGAGGCTGCAGTTCTGCTTGTCAAATGGGAAGGCGTACATCTCCAGGCTGCAGGCCAGCACCACCTGCATGGGCCGGTAGTTCTTCACGGAGCCGGAGGAGTTGACGTAAACGTAGGGGATCGGCGGAGACTTCCCCCCGTCCACGCTGGGGCCACACACACACGAGCCGGAGAGGGGAGGTAAGGTGAGACACGGAAAACAGAGCAGAACATGAGACCCCGTCACGCAGGCCCACCTTTGACATCCTGACGAAACTGTAGAGGCCGGTTGGTTCGTGCCGTGGCTGCTCACATGTTTTATCACAGGTACAGTTCAAATGGGATTGATTTTTTGAGTATTTGAAAGATACACTTCTGTCTCAGAGTCCGAACCCAATGTTTGTTGTGGGGAAGTCATATAACATATATAACTGCTATAGATTTCTATGGCTCCGCGCTGACGACAGCCAGAGTCGGACACATATTGTTTTCAGGTTGTCCGTACCTCCGTCCCCTTCTCATGGACACGATATCTCAGTAACACCTTGATGGAACTTCTTCAAATTTGGCACAAACGTTCACTAGGACTCAAGGATGAACTGATTAGATTTTGGTGGCTAAAGGTCAAAGGTCATGGTCACAGTGACCTGATAAATATATATGTATCTTAAAAGCCAGCAGAGACGGTGCATGGTCTTGGACTACAGTGAGGATAACAGGTGCACAGTTGTGTAATCACCTTGCTGAGCTGATGATGTTAACAAGAACACTGTTGTCACTGTTGTATATTTAGTTTGCTGCGTCCTGCTGTTCAATCTGCCAAATTTGTACTCCCAGGAATTTTGAGCTATAGCGTACTCTTCGCTGAGGAAGGCCTGGTGTCTGTTTTTATTTTTAAATGATTGTACTTATAGTTGTTTTAATATAAGGATTCAGTGTTTGATGCTCATGGTGGCCGTTCAGTGGAGGTCAATGACTGAGTGCTGAACTACGGGGTTCACGTCACTACTCTCTTACAATTCACTAACGATGACATCAGGTATCCAGATGGCATCAGACGACAGTGAGATCTCATTGATGCCATCAAACTCCTCCGGGTCCCAAACCAGGAACTCATCGGTCCAGATCTGGAAACAGCAGAAGAGGTGTGTACTAAAAAAATATTATATGGAAAAGCTATTACTTACTTTAAGACACTTCAACAAAAAAAAAAAAATATTGATTACATAATCTATTCCAGTCAATACTACATAATTTAAACGAGGGTTATATTCACAAGACTTTCTGCATATTTAAAGTAACTTCTGAATTAATATCCACTGTATTGCATGTTAGAAGCTGGCAGTGTAAATTACATGAGGCAGCCAAACTCGATTTCTGAGAAGGTTCTGTAGGTAATTGGAGCTGTTTTTAATTATAAAGATATGGATTTTATAGAGGGGCGGACGGGTTGTTTTCCTTCAGATTTACAACTATAAACAAAAAGGACAATTAGAGGCCACATACCTGTCTGTACCAAATACTTATAGTAATGCTCTGTGTCTTTCCATCCTGGGAAAAAAAGAGTGATACTTTTTTTAGAACAAAACTATTATATAAGTATAGATATTAAAATCTATAAAATACCATAATGAACACTGGAATCTCAGGACAGACACTTCAAATACAAGTTTCATATATCTGGCCTTGGATGGATCCACGATGAGACTGAAATAAATGGTTTTACATATTAATTGGAAGTTATCGGCGCTTCCCAACCAGCAAGAAAAACAGAATTATATCAGCAGTGTGAACAGAGTTTAAGTCCAAAGTTTACACACACACACCACGTCAAGGACAGACTGCAGTATGAGGTCTATGGAGACGGTGGTAGCACTGGTCCAGTTGTGAACGGGCCGAACTCCACAGTCGTATTTCCTCAGGAGGGTCCTGGTCAGCTGGTTCAGAGCCGACCTCTTCGGCTTCTCCGGCACACATTCAGACAGATGAGCTAGAAGTGAAAAAGCTCAATCACCGACAGCGCGGAAGTCAGCAACTGACTGGACCTAATAGAAAGTTGTTGTTTTTTTTTAATTACCACAGATTAATTGATACACAGATAATCAGGGGTTCATAGTATTAAAGTACTGGGGTTGTTATTGGAGTCTGAGGATCGAGGAAAAATATAATCAGTCTGAGAAATGGTGGGTGAGGGAGGTGGGGGGTGGGGCACTGGGGCCCCTCTGCTCATTTTTAAGCTGGAGCCTCTTGCCTGATTAGTCCAGTGTTTATCAGCTGCTCAATACAAAACCATACAGAACAAAATGATGGTAAATGCTGGATGTATTGATGAGTATTGTGTAAGGCAAAATAAATTACAAATTACCTTTTTATAGCTTTAAGATTCTTTATGCAAAAATATGAATCTGTGTTTTTATAATGGTGGCAAAATAACTTTCTTACTTTTTCTTTAACTATGCATTAATTATTGCATGTGCATGTTATTGATTATGTTTGTCATGCAAAATTTGAAAAATAGACCTTCAAAGTCCTGATACTGGATCTGTTAGAGAGCGGCACTGACCTATTGTAAGTAATGGAAGAAGGAAAGCAATGAATCGTGCAGAACTGTCACACTACATGTTGTTTAAAATGCCATAACTTCATTTAGTAGAAAAATTCACAAAGCAAAAATCCTTGGAACAAAATCCTGCAGGTAATTTCTAATTTTCAAATAAAATGTTCACAGTGTAAAAGAAAAAAAAAGGAACCGTATGATCATCGTCTTTGAGCCAAGAAGAGCATCTTACCTGAGAACAACAGCATCAGCCAAATGAGAGACATCAAGCTTAAAAATAAACCTTCCGGGTTACAGCTGTTATCCAGGTGTCACATCCAAAAGTCTGCTCTGTTTACACCAAAATATCCACAGTTTCAACAAACAGGTTCAACAGTACTGAGTGTAGGGAAATAACAATGAACAGCGTAGCACAGAGATTTTGGTCACACTGATATTGATTTTCCACTGTCCGAGTAATGTGATATGTATAATAATGATACCGGCTGGAGAGGAAACTCCCTTAAGGTTTGTTTTGCTTAGGATCATGAACACTTAGTTTTCTGTATTTGTAAAGGTAAACGCACCAAAGAGAGCATGTTGTGATTAAATCCATTGTTCAATGTTGAACTTTTTACAGCCCAGAAGCTGGAGCAACAGGTACAGAAAACATATTATTCACGAGTAATATTGTCTTGCAATTTTTAATTTAAGAAAACATTTATGTGAGAAATGAAGGTGCTAATAGGTTGAAATATTACAACCATCAGTTTGTACGGTATTAAAATGCAACTGAAGAGTGTGCCTGCAGTGTATATTGAATAGTCTATATGGGGTTCCTGTAGCAGTAGTGAAGATTGAAGAGTATCTCATTTGTAGAAGATATTCAAATTTGTTTATTTGTTTTGTTTTTTTTCATTATAACTTTTTAGATTTAAATTTAGATTATGGTTCACTTATTTGCATTTCTGAATCATCACAGATCAGTTTCACTTTAAGAGTAAAAGAAAGTTTTTTGAGAAACTCAATTACATCAAGAACAAAATATTAGTAGTGAGTATCTTTATGGATCTTTAAATCTATAAGTGGGAAATATAATGGAAAAACTAAAATAAACTTCTCAAACTCATTGAAAATTGTTTGTTTGTTTTTTAATCAGCAGATCATTTGTAAATTAGGCTACCAAACCAATAATTATTATTACTTCTTTAACAGTTATGAATCAGGAAGAAAAAGTAAGTATAAGCTGAAATCACCTTACAGTACAGAGACATGATGTAAAGTAATTTGGGTGAGGGTTGAAATAGTTTAACTCTGTCTCAGACACTGGACGTGTTATATTACGTGAGGAAATGCCGCGAGAGCGCGCGCGTTAATGTCAGCGATCGTTCTCGTGCACGCGCGTGTCTTTTGACAGGTGAGCGCGCGCCCGCTGGCTGGTCGCTGTGGCGCTTGACAGATGGAGCTGGTGTGACTCGGTGTCAGGGCTGAGAAAACATTTGGGGGAAAACAGGAACAAAATTCAGGGTTTATTTTTTTTTTTTTAATCTGCAATGAAAACTGAACAGACTGAAAATGGAGAAAACTCAACGAACTCGGTGAGCGCAAAGGATGATGGGGCAGTTATTAACATTAAAGTGACATGTTTGCATCGGAATGCCTGAAGAACTAACGTTAACCACTAACCCAGCCGTTGTGCGTGTGTGGACTGAATCCTAAAGCCCAAATCTGCCTTAAAAAATACGGAGTTTTAAAGTTGAATTTTATATTGTTTTATGTAAAACAGTGTAGGAAAAAAACAACTTTAATCATTTTTAGCAAACACTTTGGCTGACATGAAATGCACCAAACCGCTGTTATTTAATTTAAACACAAGCTTCTCCCCGATGTAGCAGCTTTAGCTAGCAGTGGACTATCTTAAAACTTAGCTTCTTTTCTAAATTGCTACATTTGGCTTTTAAAATAAGTAACTAAAGCAGTTAATATGACAAAAAAAATGCTTGATACATAGATATATTTATGGAATTTTATATTCCACAGATTGCCTACAGGCTGTAAAACATTTCATTTCTGTCTAGATGTTATTCTAGAGTGTAACATTTAGACTTAAATCAGTACTTGGCTCTGTATCCATCCAACAGCCAGCAGGCCTTCCTAATTAACTATCCCAGCCACCCATTTATTACGCAAAGCCAAGCTTCTACTGTTGTTATATACAGATGGTAAGGGTTTACATTCAGTATAACTTCTGTGGTGTTTGAAAAATCATATTTGTTTGCATCTGTTTTCTGTTTGGTATTGACAGGAGGTGTGTGTGTGTGTGTGTGTGTGTGTGTGTGTGTGTGTGTGTGTGTGTGTGTGTGTGTTAGAGGGAGAGAGAGAGAGTGAGTGAGAGACACCCAGTGCCTTTGTCACTCAGGTCTGGTGGCATGGTGAGTGGAATGATAAACAGAAGCCTGTGCTATCCATGTCAGCAGCCTAAAATAGAGGCTAACCGACAGGGTCTCAGATAGCCCCTGGACTCCATATAAGTCTGGTCAGCCTGCTCTTGGTTTCCTGTGTGTGTATGTGTGTCAGAAAGATACCCTGACATGTCCACCTGCTGTTGGGGTAGCAGGCTTTATATAGCGCCTCTCACTCAGCAGACTCATGTTATTTCTTTCTTGTGTCTATGAGGTCAAAACATACGACGCCCTGTGAGAGTTCATGTTTGGTGAGGTGGCACACAGCTGATCGCAGTACATTTCTGTATTTTAGTTTAAAGGCAACAGCAGGATAAAATGGTTTATTCAACATGTCTCCCCCAGCAAGGATACACTTGTCAAATCAAGATGAGCATTCATGGATAAAACCTTTTGTTCTAATCATAAATAACTGCATTGAAGGAACAATTAAACATTTTGGGAAGTACACATATTTGCATATTTACAGCAAGTGAAGTGGAAAGATTTATACCTCACGTCAGTACAGTAAATATGAAGCCACCCCCAGCTAACTTAGCCTGGCACAAGGACTTGAAACAGGAGCACACAGATCCTGGCTCTGTCCCACAACAGTAACAGAAATCCACCTACCAGCACCTCTGAAGCTCACCAATTAGCACTGTATATCTCGTTTGTTTAATCTTTACAAAAACATCAATTTGTAATGTAATGGTGTCAGACTATTTCTCGGCTGGGATCAGGAACATGAACCTGAACCTACTGTCCTGTAGTATTTGCTGTTTGCTTGGCAATCGGTTCTCATATATGCCGGTATGATTAACCCACTGTGAAAGGCAAATAAGTGAATTTCCCAAAATGCGGAACTATTCCTTTAATGCTGCTTATTAAACCCACTGAATTTTCCTCCTTTGCTATTTCTTTTCAAGCCGCATTGTCCTGACCCAACTTCAACAGGTTGGCATTTGGGCATTTGTCCTTCAGCTCCATATATACCCCATGTTGTGTCAGCCCAAGCTATGGATGAGGCCTACTTTTATCGTCAGGTCTCCTCCAGTCGTGTATTACACAGGCTAGTTTGAAAATTTCAAATAATAAATCTACTTTTTATGGATGATCAGTGGAAGAAAATAGGTAGAACTGTCCATGAATAACCCAAACTATGTGAGCGCCACAAAGGAAATGTCAACTAGAAGGATCTCAAGCTTGTTTTCCCTGTGTCCAATCCTTTCCCTCAGCAGAGCGAAATGCTGATCAACCAGCTGAGGGAGATCACTGGCATCCAGGATCCACAGATTCTCTACAGAGCCTTGAATGTAAGTTATAAGACACCATCACAGATCACAATTGATAATCGTATCTTCATTTTGTCTGTAGTACAAGTTGATTTTGTCAGAGAAAAAGAATTTCAAAATTAATACAGAAGCTGACAGTAAACCAATGTAGGAACTTTATCACCAGTTTCTCTCTCTGAGCTTTAGAACAAATGATTGAAATTTTAGATTTGCCCTGGTTGAGTTGTAAAAAGAAGTTAATATGTAAAATACATCAGTAGTCAAACTTCTCCTCTATTCCCCTTCGATGATATGATTTCAGTTCCTGCAAACAGCAGTGAAGTTATTGAAGTGAGGATTTCTTCGAGGCGTTTCAATGAATATTTACTTCAAAAATATTGCTTGATTAAGGAATTTAATTTAAAGCATACCTAAGAGACTCCAGCTGCACTAGAGACGCTGTGAGACTCTAGAGATGAAAGCTTAATGACAAGATTGATAAAAGTTGATGTTCACTTCCTTTTTGAGTCTCAACAATCTTGGTTAATTAAATGTAAAAACTGTCCAGATGATGGTTCTTTGGTGACCTACAGTATACATCTATCTACTGGGTTTATGATGTCATGAGCATTTAAGTATTTTGAGATTTATCCCGCGGAGGAAAATTTACATCTGCACAAAATACCATGGCAATCCATTTCTAGAGCCACACTTGAAGCTGTTCTTAAAGTGTAATTAATGTCAACCGTCTTTGATTACATTCAAAGCTCCCCCAGGGTGCCAAATTTCCACCCCAGCACAGTGCTTATGTTTTCAAACAGAACTGCAGTCTAAAAAATCCCTGGGAGCTTGTTAATAGGAACCTCATAAAAGTGATAATTGACAAAGAGTGCAATAAACAGACTGGCTGACTGCGGTGCAGACATCATCCAACCTGGTGTTGTACCAGGGGCAGACAGAGAGACAGCAGGAGCTCACAGATTTGGGAGAGGCACGTGCTGCCTATCTGCCCTTATCATTTCCTTATCTCTTCCCTTTAAGGCCAGTCAGGGTGACATTGGACATGCTGTTGGACTGCTAACAACGCAGACCGCAGAGGTTCAGGATCCCGGAGAACCGCAGGAGTTAAGGACCTCTGAGGAGGCCTGGGAGGGCCAAAAAGGTACAGCGAGGGACGAAACGGGCTGGATGCATTCAGTTTTGTGTCAAATATGAAAATGATATGAAACCAGAACTGTGGGATCCCCTCTGTCGCCCTGTTGTCTGTTTCCTCAGGGATTCGTAAAGACGAACTGCAGACCGCCATAGAGCTCAGCTTGCAGGAGTCCCACAATGCCGAGGAGGAGGAGAGGGAATTCCACAGGTACAGGAAAATCTGATGACTTTTTAAAAACAGTGATTGTGGAGTCTTGTGAGTTTTCTTCTTCTCTGGCTCACAAACTGCCTACAGTATAAACAAGATCATTATTATTATTACATACAGTAGACAAGACTTTCAGCAAAGGTCACTGCCTACAACTGACAGTCCATGCTTAACAAAAACACACAGAACAACAGATGCAAATAGAAAAT